TTTTTTTTTGCTCCCAGCTGTGCCAAGGTACTATTCCCAGCTAATCCAAGATTCTGTCCCCAGCTGGACCAAGGTCCTGGCCTTGGCTATGCCAATTTTTTTTCCCCCATTGATCTCAACAGCTTGCCCTGTTTCAGATTCTACTCCCATTTCAAATACACTCTGCTTTTAGGAGTCCTCTGGTCTTTGGTTGTGGTTTGCTGGACCTTGACAAATCCAAGGTCATCAGAGGTGGCTGGCAACCCTGGCAGGCACGTGCCTGTGGCTGAGGGGCCTTTCTGCCCTCCATGTTACTCAGAAGTTCTGGAGCGTGGGGTCTCATTAAGAAGCTGAGCTTCCAGGGTTGGGACACAGCCTTCATGACCAGATGAGGGGACCATAGAGCCCCAGTCTCCCTACCCAAAGTTTTCCTTTTTACACAGGTGATCAGAGAGAGGGTTGAACTACACAGTGGTTAGTTCTCATCTTGCTGTAGACCAGGAAAAACTGGCAAAGGGCAGATGGATGGTCTTGTAGCATAGGCTGAGTGGCAGCTGGCACCCATTTTCTCTCCTTTTCTTGTCTCCTCCACATCTGTCCCACGTGTGCCAGGCAGTATTGACCCTTGCTTTCTGGGGGCACCTCTCAGTCCCGCACAGTGTGGGGGTCTGAAGGGCTCAGAGCCCCAGAACTGACATTCCATCTCTGCTGCCGACCTAGTGCTTGCCTGCCAGGGCCAGCTCTCCTTCACCTTGTTGTCAGTGGGGTTCTCACCTGAGACCTTGGGAGCCCAGAGTCCTTTCTCAGTGTTGTGGGTCCCAGGTAGCTCTAGGAAACCTATGCTTGTGTGGAGAGGCAGATTAAGACCTTCCCGGGGCTAGTTTGGAAGGAAATCTGAGCCCAGGGCAGAGCCAATCTCCTCCTGCTGCTCCTTCTCAATAGTTCCTGCTTCCTAATAGTTTCCCAAGTCCGGTCTTCTTTACCATGGACACAATGATGAGGAAAGAGCCCTTGGAAAGACTGACTCATGACCTTGGACACACACAGGAGGTGGGCAGAGGTCCAGATGTGACAAGATGGACCACGAGGCTCAGTGTCTTATTCTACCTACTGTTATGCACATTTGAACATTTTCGTGCAAACGTTAATAACACCGGTATGCATCATGCACTAGCTCGCTCGGTCCTCAGTGTCCTCATCAGTAAACAGAACCAGACGAGTCTCACCTAGTGGTGAGGATGGAATAGAATCGTTCCCAGCACACAACAATACCCCATAAATGCTGGTTAATAGTTCTCCCACGTGCCGCACCCCACACCTGCTCCCTGTCTGGATGTCCCTGCCTTGCTCTCCAAGTCTCTGCTATCTGGGACATCCTCTTTGCCTTCTTGCTTGGGAAAATGCCTCATCCATCATGTTTCAGCTAGATATCACCTCTTCTCATGGCTTCCTTTCTCCAATTCCCTGGGAAGGAGGGATTTACGGCTCCGACGCCATGCTTTGATGACTCGGGCCCATGCACAGTTCTGCTTTGGCACTTGTCACCTTGTAAGAAGCAAATGTGTGCCTGTTTCTCCACTACCGGCCAGCTGGAGCCTGGCCCTATGCCAGTCTCAGGGAACAAAGTTTGAAGGGACCACACTCTTGGGTTAAGTGGCAGCCGTGGGTCTGCTCCTCAAGTTCTGGCTTGGCCTCAGGAGCCCCCTGTGAGAGGTTGAGGCAGCTCAGGCTAAGAAAACACTGCGGCGTCCTGCCAGGGAGAAAGGAGGCTCGAGTGTAGAGGGCAGAGGAGAGGATGTGGATGGGGCTGCATCAGCACCAGCTGGATGCTTCTCAGATATCAGCCCGTGGGCATTTGAAACCCACATTCAGCTCTTCTAACCATGGCTGGAGCAGGGTCTCCCCTGGTGGACGTGGAAATGAAGACTCAGCAAGAAGCGGCATGGTGGCTCCGGAGATAATAGAGCTTGCACCAAGCTTGATGACCTCGGCTCCGCCCCTAGGACCCACATGGTGGATGGAGAGAACCCACTCACACAAGCTATCCTGTGACCTCTGAGGGTCATGTGCCATGCCTCCCCCTATCCCACTCAGGACACAAAATTGATAAATGTCATTAAAAAAATTCTAAAGAAGGTGACTATGGGGCTGGAGTGTTGGCTCAGCTGCTGGGAGAACACATATTGCTCTTGTGGAGGGCAGGGTTCCTGGCACCCATATTGTGTACGTCACAATGGCTCTAACTCCAGCTCCAGGGGATCTCATGCCTCTGGCCTCCACCAGCACTTGCATTCATGTACACACACACACACACACACACACACACACACCACTTTAAAAATAAGAATAGTAGCTTGTTTCTTCATCATCCATCCGTCTATCCATCCATCTTTTATTCATTCATCCACTCATCCATTCATCCATCACCCATCTACAAACCCATCCATCAATTCATCCACCCTCCATCATCCCTCTATAGATCTATCTACCCATCCATTCTCTAGCTCTCATGTATATTCACCCGCCTTCCACTTTCCATCATCCACCCATTGTCCATCCATCTACCCATCCATTCTCTAGACTTCATACATACATCCACTTCCCATCATCCATCACCCTCTACTATCCACCCACAGATCTATCTACCCATCAGTTTTCCAGTTTTCGTACATTTGTCCACCTTCCAGCATCCATCCATTCATCCTCTATCTAGTCACCATCTTCCATCTACGATCTCTCTACCCTCCAGCACTCACCCACCCACCATTCATCTATTCATCCACCCTCTGTGCTCCACCTACCCATCCACTCTTCATCATTGACTTGCCCACTCATTCATGCATCCTCCATCTACCCATGTATTCCTCCCTATCCATCCATCCTCCTTCCGCCATCAATTTCCTGTCCACTCATTCATGCATCCTCCATCTACCCATGTATTCCTCCCTCTCCATCCATCCTCCTTCCGCCATCCATCAACTTCCACTTGTTCATTCATCTTCCCTCATTTTCCACCTACCAATCCATTTCCTTCTTTCCTTCCCTCCCTCCCTCCTTCCCTTTCCTCTTTCTCTTCCTCCCTCTTCCTTCTGCAGCTCTTCATTAATGGCTGCCAGCCAGGCTGCCTGCTGGCTGCTGGGGGAAACAATGGAGAGCTAAATCAGCTGTTGCCTGGATCAGAGAGCTCAGATGCTAATGTAAGAGACAAACACTAATTGAAGGAGCCCACAGCTCTGTCTAGGATTGCAAACCATGGAGGACTGGGAGGGGCCAATGGAGGAGGACATGTGAGAGGACCTGACTGTGCCTGGGAGCTCAGGGGGAAGTGATAGTTATCCAAGTACAAGTTCATCCCGGGTGGACAGGTCCAGAAACCAGAAGAGCCCAGTGCTGGTGCTGAGGCTAGAGCATAGTGTGTGGCTGGAGGGAGGCAGAAGCCCATCCAGGGAAGTTTAGCAGGCCAGTTTTCGTAAGGAACTTGAGCTATTTTCTTAGAAGCAACAGGAGGCCATTGATTCGTGGGCTTTAAACCCAAGAAGTGACCCAGGGATATATCATCCATTCATTTCACAGCAAATCTGAACTGAGCACTCTCTATATGTCAGGATTATTCTAGCCCCTGGAGACATGGCTGTGAATAAGATCGACGTGGTTTCTGTCCTGGCTTGAACCTGCCCGGTAGCCAAGGACACTTATAATGGAAAATACGGGCATTGACATGGACTACAGGTCGGAAGCGCTGGTGTGTTTTGTGTGAGACAATAGCGGCAGTGGCAGCAGAGAGAAGTGGACAGATTTGAGAAATGAGCGGCTGGCCCTGGCCCAGCCTCCAATTGCCAAGCAAGACAGAGACGCAGTCTCAGGGTTGCTGTCTCCCACTACGCAGCCAGATGTTCCGAGCACTCAGAGCCCCGCCATACCTCCACCCGGTGGAAGGGGACTCCTGGGGGATTGTCCTGACCCCATCCGGCTGCCTTCCTCTGGGAAGCCACGGACCACCCCAGGCCCGCCCCACCCTTCTAGGCAGGACCCGTGCCCGGGAGTAGCATCCATCCATCTGGCCCGACATCCATCAGCGTCAATCCCTGGCTGCAAAAGCAATATTTATAAATCACATTTCCAAACTGGCTACACATTTGTACAAAGAAGCAGATGGGTTGGGGTAGCCGCTTGTCACCTAAGATATTTATATGGCGAGGAGGTGGGGGGTTGGCACAGTGAGGGGAGGGGCTGAAGGAGTGGAGGAAGAGACTTTCCACGGCTGCTCTGACCTCATCAGGCTAAGGTTACCCTGTCCCCAAAGCTCACACTACCTCTACACAGCTCCAAAAGGGAGCTCTGGAGGTCCCTAAACTAGGAAAAACAGCAGGGGTGGAGGCTCGGGCCCCGGAGTTGCGAGGACCCTTGAACTTGGAGAGGCAGGTACAGGACTGGCTGTGTCCGTGGGCACCAGCTCAGGGTACCAAGCGAGGGATGTGTGGGCTGAACTGTATTGGTTGTTGAATTACTTCCAAAAAGATTTAAATAGCCATGGCTCTGAGCCTCAGCTCCTCCTACAGCCTTAGCTTTTCTCACAGCCATGCCCCTGCCCTCAGTAGAGGGGTTAATGCCAGACACAGCAGGGACTCCAGGGTCCAGGGTCATCGTTGTCTGGGGTCAGTTGTCAGGGTGGAGGCACTGGGTAGTGAAGATTCTTAATATGGCCTTAAGGCTTCTCCCTGTAGGCGTAGGGTCTGAAACACTTGGGAGTGACCCCAGGCCTGTTCCAGGACCAGAAGGAACCAACGTGGTCTGACCCCACCCCCACCCCATGCCTCTTGACTTATCCCTTTCTGGTCCTGTTTCCCACTTGTTTGAAACTTGCTATTTCCGCCACCAGACAGTGTTCACTCCGGTTAGCTGAGTGGCTCGCTCCCTGGTTGCTTTTGGTTTCTATTGATTTGTGTATGTGTGAGTGCATGTGTGTGTGGTGTACACTGTGTGAGCATGTACCTGTGGTGTACCTGCCTGTGTGTGAGAGGCAGAGGTCGGTGTCATGTGTCTCCCTCGATCTTTTTCCACCTTAGTTTTTGAGGCGGGGTGTTGTTGGCCTGGAACTCACAGATTAGACTAGGCTAGCTGGGGGCAAGTTCCCAGGATCCTCCTGTCCTTGCCTCCCAGTGACAGAGTTATAGAAACATGTTACTGTGCCCAGCTTACATGGGTACTCGGGATTTGAACTGAGGTCACCTACTGAGCTGTCTCCCGACCCATTTCATTTGCCTATGCATTATAGATCCCTTCAGAGAGGCCTCCCAGACGACCTTTCATTTTCAGCTTCATGCCACACATTTTATTGAACACCTACAAGGTACCAGCATTGCCCTGGGCACCCAAAGGCCTACGACAAACAGAGAAAGGCCCAGCCTCTTGAGAAACAAGGCTAAGCGGCCCCTCCCTCCCTGGCCACTCATCTGACATATTATTGATTTGTTTAATTTCTGTCTTGCTTCAATAGAATATGAACTCCACAAGGGCGGAGATTCTCTTCCATCTGTCATTGTATTTCCAGGGCCCAGAGCAGAGCTTGCCAAGTAGGAACTATACCTCAGTGGTGCTTAAGAGACTAAAAGTAGAAAGTGAGAGTTCGGGGTCTGCAGTCTACCCCGTAGCCCTCCTCCCTCGGGGGTACACTTGAGGTGGTGTGTATTAGCCCCATTTTCAGATAACGAAACTGAGGCTCAGAGAGGGCCAGATAGTTGCCAGGAAGTCATGGAGAGCCTTAGCTGAGCGTGGGAGTGTTCTCACTCCGGTCCACTGACATCTGCCTCCCTCAGCTTTGTTTTTAAAGATTTCAATGTCAATTTGATGAGGACCGTGGGGGATGGAGTGGGGTATCATGAAAGACTCAGCTCAGGCAGGTGGGCAATTTGCTTCTGCAGGGGGAAAACTGAGTCAAGGAACATCTTTACTATATAGAGACAGGCGTGCGTGCGTGCGTGCGTGCGTGCGTGCGTGCGTGTGTGTGTGTGTGTGTGTGTGTGTGTGTGTGTGTTTGTATCCCATGGGTGTGGATATGAAACCCTCAAGTGTAAATGTGAACTGAACCAGAAAGGCTCAGTAAGCATGGACCCTGAAGGACTCTGCAGAACTCTGGGAAGGGACTTCTCCTTCTGAGACAACTGAAATGTGGAGGGGTGGGAAAATCGCCCTCCACTGTGTCTGTGAGGATGCCACAGAGAACTTGAGTTGGGGGCACTTTGAACCACATGTGTACAATGCTGCCTTCCTCTGTCACTTGGCTCAGGGACTGTCCTCCAATGTCTACCCTCCTGCTCCTCTGGATGCTCTTTTAGGGTCGTTCCAACTGACATTCTCTGCTCTTGGGATGCATCTCTTCACTCTGCCAACCCACACCCTGGTTCCTCAGGGCTTGCCCAGTGGCTGGGTGTCAGCAGTGACCTGGCTCTGTGATCTTAGACCCAGCTCTGCCTCTCATGGAGTCTTAGTTTCTACAGAGGAGGAAGGTAATCTGCCAGCCCCCTCTGTCACCCTGAGGGTTGTGGCTTACAGGTAGCTCACCTTGGATGTCCAGCAGAGAAAAATGAGGGTTGCTGGGTGCTTCTGGTACCAGGCGGAAATAGAAGCGGTGACCTCCCTGGGGCTCATCTCTGTCCACCACACTGATGGTCTGGATAAGCTGTAGGGTGGGGAGGGGCAGGTTACATAATGAAGCAGAGTAGGGGGCTCTGGCATGACAGTAGCCCTGATCCCCAGTCCCTCTGGGTACCTGGCCTGGCTTGGCATCCTCACACACAGCTGCCTCGTAGGGTGTAGCCAGCTCTGGGGGATTGTCATTCACATCCAGGATTCGGATCCGTAGGGAGGCTCGTGATAGCTGAGCATGATTGTCTGTAAGAAGAGTGAAGAGGAGGACAAGCTTCAGGGATGAGGTTAGACAACTGCCTACTTCTGGAAGATGGGGCAGTGGGGCCACACTGACAGACACTGCCTTATCCAAATGGGGATGAGGACCAGCATAGGGACATCTGGGATTGGGCAATCACAACATGATCCCAATCCCAATCTCCTAAACATTTCCACCACCCTCTGCCAACACCATCTCCACCATCCCATTCCCACCACCATCCCATCACCATCCTCTCCACCATCCATCTCTCCACCATGCCCATCTCCACCACACCCACCCCATCTCCACCACACCCACCCCATCTCCACCACACCCACCCCATCTCCACCACACCCACCCCATCTCCACCACACCCATCCCATCTCCACCACATCCATCCCATCTCCACCACCATCCATCTCTCCACCAGTCCCATCTCCACCACACCCACCCCATCTCCACCATCCCATCACCACCACCATCCCATCACCATTCTCTCCACCATCCATCTCTCCACCATACCTACCCCATCTCCACCACACCCATCCCATCCCCACCACCATCCCATCACCATCTCTCCACCAGGCCCATCTCCACCACACCCATCCCATCTCCACCACACCCACCCCATCTCCACCACACCCATCCCATCTCCACCATCCATCTTTCTACCATGCCCATCTCCACCACATCCATCCCATCTCCACCACCATCCTCCACTATGCCCATCTCCACCACACCCATCCCATCTCCACCACCATCCTCCACTATGCCCATCTCCACCACACCCATCCCATCTCCACCACACCCACCCCATCTCCACCACCATCCATCTCTCCACCAGGCCCATCTCCACCATCCATCTCTCCACCATGCCCATCTCCACCACACCCACCCCATCTCCACCACCATCCATCTCTCCACCAGGCCTATCTCCACCACACCCATCTCTACCATCACTATATCACCATGACCATTTCCACTATTGCCACTCCATCTCTGTCATTACCATCACCATAACCACCTTCACCATCCCTCTCTCCATCTTCACCATAGTCTTCACCAGATCCACCATCCCCATCCCTGTTGTTAACATTAGCATCAACCCCACTGCCATTACCACCACAACCTCTGTGGCCATGAACAACAGCACCACTCATCACCATCACCATCACCACTAGGAGCACCACCACAATCTGTGTCATCACTAATGCTACTAAGCCATCACCATGACGACTGGCAACACTGTCTTCTCTGACTCTAGCAGGTAATGGACAGTAGCAGCCTCACCACTGTCTCCATCATCCCAGTAGATCACTATCACCACATCCATTAGCTCCACCCTCATCATTCCCCCTCACCCTAAGTACTAAGACCATCACCCTCACGGCCCCTGTCCCTCTGTCACACCACCAATATTCTAACTTCTGTCATCAGCTGTGCTAGCACCATCTCCAGAGTAGCCACCAACACGACCAGCCCATTAATGCCACTGTCACCTCCACCACAATCACCAGTGGCACCCTCAGACAAGCCTCTGCCTCCACCACCATGTCCCGTCCACTGCTCTCTCTGACATGTCACCTAGAGAGCACTGAATGCACCCGGAGCACACATGCCCATCATCCGGCTGCCCTGGGAGATGCTGTGGCCTACTACCATTTGTGTCCCCGGACCGTGAAGGAGAAACCGAAATACGTGGGCATGTTTAGACGATGGGTCAGCTGGTGACTGAACCCCCAAATTGCTGCTCTCAGCACACCTGCAGGGCCAGATGAGTCCGAGGAGGCAAAATTGGCCAGCAAACAGGATGCCTATAAAGTCAAGGCCCTGTCTTACTTAGCTCTGGGTCTCTGTCTTAGGGCGAAGAACAGCTTGCCCCTCACAGTCGGGCAAATGAATGGAATATGAAGGGATGGCAAAGAGGCCTGAGTGTCAGGCATGGTTGAAACCCTGACACAGACCTTGAGCTTAGGCAAGATCCTGACATCAGTTTCTATACCTGCAGAGTGGGCAGGGAGTGGTGGTTAAGACTGAGCCCACCTCTGCCGCTTAGGAGCTTTGTGATCTCAACCAAGTGACTTGATTTCTCTAGGCTTGTTTTCTCGATTGCTTACAGAACAGATCTGCTAAGCGTTAACAGCTACAAAGTGCTTGGAACTGTGCACGCAGCACAGAGGACTGGGACACAGGTACCTAGTAAGCAGCCAGACACCTGAGAGCTGGCTGCCTCAGCCTGGCCTCTCTGAGCAGTTCCCTGAACACTTCCCGCTATTCCAGTGCTGTTGTTAACCCATCCTCAGCTAGCCTGCTCACCACCGACCTTGTCTACCTGCTACTCACTGCAGGTGCACCCCCCAGGGGAGGAAATGGAACCCCAGTTCTAAGCAGATGCTTGGATGGTGGGAGTCTCCAGCTGGGTTGGCAGGGAGCTATTTTGGGGGCAGTCTGGGAGTTCCCAGGCAGCCAGGCACCCCATGAGTTTTGGAGGGAGTGGACCCATCTGCTCTGAACTCAGAGACCGCTGGATGCTGAGGCAGCTGCTGGAGAGGTGAGGGAACTGGAGGTGGGAAGGCAGGTGGGCACCTCTGGGGAAGCCGGGGAGGGAGGAAGACTTCTTCATTAGCACTGCTGGCCCCCTTCTGGAGTTCCCCTCAGCCAGGCCATGTTATCTCCTCAGTTTATCCAGATCTGCCACCTCAGCAATTAGAGGGGCTCTTCCGGGACTGAGGGAGGGGAGTCGTGACTGGGGATGCCGAGTGAGCCGTTATTTTTAAGAACATGTTGCCAGAGAACCTCCACAGACAGATGGGGTGCTTCTGGGAGGGTGGGTGGGGGAGGGGGAGGCAGGCGGGTGTCTGCCTCCCAGCTGATGGTGGAGCTAACGAGGGCCTGAGCATCCTCTCTGGCAGCCTGCCTCTGTAGTAGGGGTGTGGGGCCAGAGGAGAGGTGGGAAAGGCCTGGGAGCATGGCAGCCTTCTCATGAAGGGCAGACACCTTCTACCCAGGTTCTACTACCGGGGTCCCTTGATGTCACAGTGTGGCTGTGGGTTACACCTGGCCTTCTCTTTCAACATGTCACACATAGGTCACTAGGAGAGCCCTGAGTCCCTTTGCCTAAGTGAGGGTCTCAGATCTAAGAGGTGGGCACCTACTTGAGAGGTGTGCCTCCAAGTTGCCCAGGTTGCTACCTGTAATGTTTGCTCCAGGGAATGGGGGCTGGTCTGGAATCGCCATTGCTCCTGACCGGCCCCCATGCCCTCAACACTAGACAATGTTCCCACCCCGGGAAAGTCACCCGGGAAGCCTTAAAAAACACCAGTGCTGAAGGTTGGCATGGCCCAAGGAGGTTCACTGTGTACCCAGCTCCAAACTCTGCCTTGGGGCGAATGGCAGGTCTCTGGCCTGGTCAGTGCCTGTCACTCGTAACCACTGATGACCATAAGGCCTGCCTGTAGCACCTTCCAGGGGGTCTGCAGCAAAGTAAAGCACTCAGCAGTGTTTAACTTTGACCTCTTTCCAGTTTGCAGCATCCTTTCCTGTCCGTGACATCACGTGGGTTTCCATACAACCCATGAAAACGTGGTATCAAACCTGTTTTGTAGAGGGGAAAACTGAGGCGGAGGGTCGGGAACATCCCCGGAGTTGTCCCCAAGCCTCCCAGCTCTCAAGTGTGTGGTCCAGATGCAATGTCTGGCTCTCCTGCTGCCTGGGTCTCTTCGATCCAATGGCAGCTGCTCAGACTCGGGCACAGCAGACCTCACCCAGTGCCCAGTGGCAGGTGCCCCCTCCAGGGGCCAGGTCCCCCACGGCCCTCCCCCGCATTGCCATCTCAGTTCATCTGACTGACATGCAAATTAGTTTAATTATTTCTTCTTCTAAAATAAATTATATTTTGCAGTAGCTGCAATATGTTGTGTCAGGCAAAATTACATTCAATATTTTTAAACTAATTGATGCAGCCTTGAGGAAGGCTGATTGACAGCCCAGAGCTGAGCAGGCCTGCAGCCTTAACCGATTCCTAAATTAAAATTAAACGTGCTCTGGCCTGGTGCCTCCTTCTCAGTTGGCTCGGGCAAGCATCTGGGGAGGTGGCAGGTGGAGCCCCAGGGGTCGGAAGAGGCTGGGAAGGAAGGTTCTGGGAGAGTCGCTGCTGGTCCGTCTCTCACCATCCTGGTGCCCTGAGGTTCCCTAAGCACAGCAGCTGGGGTGAGATTGGACATTTTGGAAGGAGGCTTGTGGTTTTTGCTGACGACTGTGGAACGGGAGTCTCCTTTGTACCAAGGACACAGGAACGAACAAGAACAACATGGTCCTTTGGTGTAGGGGTAGAGACAGACACCACTCCAGACTGTGACGGGAATTGGAAGGCTCAGGGACTGAGAATGTGCAGCAAGGAGTCCTGTCCCAGTGGGTGTGGGGACTTTCCCATGGAGCAAGTGACATTTCTACCCAGATCCAACTGGGAAGTAACCAGGGGAAGGGGAAGGGGAAGGTGGGAGGGAGATTGCTCTGGGGAGAGTGATGGGCATATGCAAAGGCCCTGGGGTCAGAGTGTGTGGGAGGCTTCAGACCTCTTATAAGGAAGAGAGTCACTCATGGGGCATTTAGACCCAACTGAGCAGGAAGCAGAGATGGATGGGGCCAGTGGGAAGGGAAGAAGACACAGGCGTAGCCTAGTGAGCAGAAGGATGTGTCACCTTCCCCTGAGAAAGGCAGAAGACACACATCAAGGCCCTGTCAAGGGTCTGTGCCTCCCCGCTTCATCCTGTCAACTGTGGACCGAGGTAGGAGCTTGAGTCAATGCTGTTTTGTGGATGAGAAAACAGGCGACGTCAGAGAGGTGATGCCTCCTCCCTGGGGTCTCATGGCAGAACCGACAGAGCCGGTCTGGATGGGGGCCTGGTTTCAAAGGCAGAGTTTATGGCTAACAGACTCTTTTAACTCCTCAGATGCCAGAACCCTTCTAAGCCCCAAAGGCCTTGCCTCCTCCAGGCAGCTC